ATATTTGGTAACTTATTCTTGTATATATGTAGTTACGAATTTGTCTAACATCTGCTTGTGAGAATATGGTCTATTCCCCATTGTCTCCCTTCCTTTCTCAGATAAGAAATGCTACCCTTATACTCCTACAGAGAAATTGGCACTGGGCTAGAACTGGTGGATCAGCATCTTCTAATTTGTAAGATCATCCAATGTTCAAACTCATTCTCTTCATTCCCTCAGGGCAAGTGCACCCGTATGCTGAATTGTGGGAGAATGACAATCCCTCCTTCTTCCCTTTCCCACTAAGAGTAAGGTGACATTTCCAAAAAGGCTGGATCCCTTTATCTCCATTGCTTGTGGTACTTGAACACATCTTTCTGATGTTCTCTCTCTGGAATAGTCAAAAAATCTACTATGAAGTATGATTAAGAGTTCAGCCTCATCGACTCCTCTAGACACTACCCCCCAGCATAGAAGAGGAAGAGATGAAGAGGGTTTCAGAACTAGCTGTCTCCAAGGATGGCAAGAGCCTACAGTTATAAACATTTAGTTTGGGGTGGATACAACTTGTGGGTAAGACGCCTAAACTGAATTAGCTGTATATGTGTAAACCCGTGAGCTGAGTACCTAAGCTCCAGTGTAATCAATAGGGATTTAGGAGCTCTATACAGTTGCCTACACACAGATAGCCATCACTGTCCTTTTGAGATGCTCTAGGATGTACTGTGTGGCCTCCACCTGCAGCTCCATAGGGGCCTGGGTCTCCCATAGATCCAGAATCATATCTGCCATGCCTTATGTTGCAAGGTATCCTAGGAAGTCTCAGATGGCTCTAGATGTCTAAGTTTCAGCAGCCAAATCAAGTTCCAGATCTTCATGGACTATAATGGAGTATAAATATCTAGTTCGCAGGTGGATATCTAGATGTCTTGTTCTGCAGGCTCAATCTCACTAACTGGTAGCTACTGTCTTTGTATTTTCTAGACTATATGGGAATTATGCAGGGTCTGTATTTTAGAAGACAAAGGAGTTTACAGTTGATGTGTAAACAGCTAACCTTGTCTAATTTACTCTTGCAATCAATGTATACCGAAATCTTGGGTTTATTCAGTTCACAGTCTTACTGACTAATATACAAGCTGCTTATATGGTAGGTGTGCTTTGACATCTTGGGAAAACCGTTCTCAGAGGACTTCCAGAACAAGGCTTTACTTCATTTTCCTTGCATGAGTCCTCTGATGCCCCCACCCCATGAGGATGGGTTACCTGGAATTTGGCTCCCCCATCACCATCACCCTGGCCACCCCCATGGAGTCCCTAAGTAATGACTTCTTTTCTCTGATCCAGAAGACAGGGACTCTTGGTGGCATGCTATAAAAGCAAGGGGCCTTTAATTTTGTTACGTTCTTCCTCTCTCCCAAATCTGCAATAGTCTCTATCAATCAGAGGTCTTCCTGGTACAGCCTGAGTGACCAGCATACTCCACTGCTGCTTTCTCCCTTTCCCCCAAATGGGAACCTAAAATCCTCGGAGGAAGAGCTGAACCAAATATCACCTGTTGGTTTTTCACTTCTCTTGACTTACAAGGACTATGCAGATGACATTTTCTTCCACAGGTCTGCCCACCTTTTATGCGTATATCCCTCTACAAGTAAAGTCATCTTATTCCGTGGTCCTAAGACAGATAAGAACCCTTGAGGGAATGTTTGCTTCTCTTTGTCCAGGTCATTTTTTTATTTGATCACTTGGGCATTGTGCGCAGTAAAGTATGAAATTTACTTTTGTTCATGAATCTTCCTACTGTGATAAAATGCTTACACCCAGTTCAGTGTCAGTTAATGATAGGCCATTTATAAATTAATTAAAGTGTTGAAAAGGATAATTTATACTTAGGCTAAATAGGTCTAAGTATATGTTTTAGACTTTTTAAGGCTGTTATACATATTTCACCTGAGAAGAAAAGACATCCTCTGTTTTTTTCCACATTAGGTCAACTCTTCTTTCGAAAGGCTAATCTCTCCGTGACTTTGACTTTGCATAAAGAGGAATTCTGAATAAATTCTTGCTCTTGCTCAGGTATTTCTCTACAGGCCTGCCATGTTTTGGGGACCTCTTCAAGGGCATTAAGTTACCAGACAGGCAAGGTGAATGTTAGTTTTCTCAGTTGAGATACGGAGTTCCTGCTTCTGTTCTAATTCCGGTAAACCTTAAATCATATATCACCATCAGAACCAGCCCCCTTTGGTTCTGTAGCCACAATTCCTGACATCTGAATGATGGTGAGATGCTAAAGAGAAGTTTTACTTTCATTTAGAAAGTTGGGAGTTACATGCTAGCCTGAGGGAGGTATATAAACCAATTACTTGGGTGGAAAGCTTGTAAACGACTTTTTGTTTTCTACAGACCACAGACTGTTCCCAGCTATATAATGTTGGCTCTTCTGGTCAAGGGAAGATAGACACAGACCTTAGATACTTTGGGAAGACTCTAGATCAATTTTATGTTTGTAGGGAGCCGTGACATATGAGCTACCATGAATAGCACTAGGGCTGCTGTGAACTCCCAACCAGCTGGCTGCGAGGTGGCTGAGCCAGCTCGTCTTCCCGGCAGCCCATGTTACTTCTGCACACCAGGCAGGACAGCTCGTTAGCTCAACAGGCAGCACAGCCAAGGGGACAGGACAAGGGACCAAGCCACTTCTGAGCATTAACTTCTTCTGTGACCTTTGCCTCACTCTCTTTCTAAATTAAATTTTATCAGCCAGGTTTTGCTTATTTTTAATTTTGCAAACTTGGGTGCTGAGAGGTAGGTGTCTACCCCCCTTCCCCCTCATGTTCTGCAAACTCCATGGGCCACTTCTCACAAGATAGCCCTTCATTCCCGTGCGTCATTCTTCATCTCTGTAAAACAGGGTAACGACATTTAAATACCATGTAGACAAGGATGTGGCAACCAAGGAGTTCACCTATATGTATAAATCCAGAATCTCACTGAAATTAAAACTACTGGAAAATTTTCGGTTCCCAGTGCTTTTCCTGGTGTGCTGACCAAATGTTTACCGTAAGAGTTTCCCAAACATTGGTAACCAGACAGAGATCCTGGCAGGGCAGGAAAAGCACACGCACAAACCTCTGCATTTTTCATGCTGTAGTCCTACACTTCCTGGAGCAACAGCAGCTGCCACAGCTTCAGGAGAAAACACCAACATCTGACCACGTCTGAATGCATGCAAGTATTCATAGAAATGTCATAGGTGAAAACGGTGTCCTGGTACTTCTATTTTGTACTGTTACTGGAAAAAGTTAATGGTCAAAGAGCGAACCTTTGTCCAAAGAGGTAAAGATGATCATGGAGGTGGATATAGATGACTTTGGCAATGAGAGACAGAGCAGGAGAGGAGAGTGAGCTGTTCACTGTCCACTTTCTATCATCACCTCTGTTCCACTTTCTATCAATCACCTCTGTTCCACCTTCTTCTTCTCAGCAGCTCCTTTCTGCTACTGCCTCATCATCTTTTCCCTCATGTATCCATGCTTTCTGTCCCATCACTTCCAACACCTTCCAGTACCCACACGTTCCAGCAGAGCATCTAAAGGGGAGAGGGAGAACAGGGGCATCACCTTCCAGCCCTTCCCGTGCCACCGCTGCCACACAGGGATGCCGCCGCTGTGGGCCTGGTGGGCGCAGCCCTCCCGCAGAGGCCGGGGAGGACTGGTGAAAGGGCAGTGCTCCTGGGTGGGACTATGGAGAGCGGTGACTGGCACCGCTCAGGAGATGGTCCGTCTGCCTGTGGACCTCTGAGCTCGGCTGTGCAGCAGGTGCTTTGTGGGGTTATTTTAGCGTTGCCTCTGCAGGTATTATGCAGTGCTTGGGAACGCCAGTCGCGGCCCAGGACGCCACCGTGCACGATACCATCCTAACAGGAAACAGATGGCACTTGCCTCTGCTGGGGCAACCCCCAGACCTCACCGGAACACTTTTTAGGTACGGCGCCAGCAGGGACAGCATCCAGAAGCAGCGTTTTTTGGTGGGCGGCCGCGTTGCCCATCCGTGTGCTTTGAGACCACGGCACGACCGAGCCGGGCAAACGCCAGCCTCGGGGGAGGGCCGGATCCCGGGGCTCAGGACACTCGGTGGGGGGGCGGCCGTCCGCGCTTCGCCCCGGGGGGCAGCTCGGGGGCAGCCCCCTGGCCTCC